TAAAGTGGTGTGGTAAGCTGGTTGTTTGTCTTGTTCATTGTTCTGTTTAAGCCCATGACGTTGAGGGTCTCTACATATATATGCAAGCAAACAAGTCGCTCCAGGACACTGTGGCTATAGTGTGTACGTAAGTAAGTGCTGGACGGCATCTGTGCGTCTCATACCAGCTCATATGATTAGTGTCTGGCATTTCCACTGGGATTAGCCATGCGCTGCGCTTTTCCAAAGTTCACAAGGTTAAGAGTTCACCAACACATAGGCTGCTTGCAGGAGGACCACAATAGCTTAGTGGTAGTGGGAAATTTCGTCGCCACTTGCCGCACCAAGGAAAATTACAAAAATATTGACTCTTTTCCAGCACTTTCTAACCCTAACAAGTTTAAGACCCTTCATCTTTAAGTTCAGTAGAGGACAATATAGCTAAAAGACACCAAACACCTAGTTTGTTCAGCTAGCATTGTGATCTGCTATTTAATGCTGTATATCTATGTTTGTTTAATAGCACTTGTTATGGGTTTTACATCAAATTTGAGGAAAGAAGAGGTAAAGAAAGAACAAAGGTTTGAAGATAAGTGAATGGAGGTAAAGAGTGTAGCCGAGACGGCTCTGTGTCTCATTTGGTAATTGAAGGTGAGAATTGATTGCATTATCCCAGGAAGAGCTGTTACCTGCTATCACCTCATAGCTTCTTAATTTCCTCAAGTGTATCTTGACTCATGGCCAAAATAAAACTCACACCTTTACATACATTGTTCTGTGCCTATAAGTTTCTAGTTTAAATTCAAGTTTCAGATTCAAGACTTTTAGTTTCCCTCTTTGTGTCCATGTCAATACTAAATGTACTTAAACTACCGTTCAAAGGTTTGGGGTTGGGGTTGGACTTTTTTTTATGTTCTTGAAAGTCTCTTTTGTTCACCAAGGCTGCATTTATTTGATCAAAAATATAGTAAAAACAGTGAAATAGTGAAACAGTGAAATAGTATTACAAAATATATTAAAATAACTTTTCTATTTGAATATACAGTATTTTAAAATGTAAAGCTACGTTTTCAGCAGCCGTTACTCCAGTCTTTAGTGTCACATGATCCTTCAGAAATTCTTTTATTATTCTGATTTGGTGCTTTTTTTATATTCTTTTAGTCTTTTATTTCTTCTGAATATTTTTGTGGAAACTGATACACTTTTTTCAGTATTCTTTGATTAATAGGAAGTTCAAAAGAATAGCTTTTTCACTTTTGATCAATTTAGGGCATGCCTGCCAAAAAAAATAAATAAAAAAATCTGACCCCAAACAATAATGTCATTATGCAAACCCGTTTTATATGACTGCATACAAATCGGTAAATGGACAACACAAGAAAACTCCTGATGTCATGACAAAAACATCAAGCAAAAACGTGCACATTGAATACACTGACAAAATGTGTTTAATTTCGTAATGTTTTGGTGTGCCAAACTGAATATTCCTGGAAATAATTATAAACTGTGCCTAAATGTTTATGGAATATTCCCACAGATGTATTATGGTAATGTGGTTATGTATTATCGGATAATTGTTGCATAACATAGTATTTCATAGTCATGTTTATTTGTATAGCGATTTTGACTGTCTCAAAGCAGCTTCACAAGAAGTTTTTTTTTTTTTGCTTTAGATTTGTTGCACATTTACTGCCATTTTTCTGCACATAAACTGTATTTGTGAAGATAGTGCATTGTCGCTATTCAGCACACCGTGAATAAAAAGAAGAAACCGTGTACTTCAGCTGAGAGTAGGGAAAGAAATCCACATATTGCCATAATTTTATCTCAGCATATCATTATTGAAAAGACCTCTAAAATCAGAAAAACTCCTGCCCTTATTAAGCAGCCCCTATGTTATCTCACCATTTGTACAATTGCTGAATCAATCCATTTCAAATGTCATTTTAAAAAACGTCTAACTTATGAGAATGTCATTAAGCCATTTATACTCTGAGAGTTTATTTGAGAAACCTCAAGCACTTTCACCAGAAATGTTCTTTGATGTATGTAACAGTACAGCAGTTAATAAATGAAGACATCACAAGCCTCTATTACACTTGAGCATAGTTCTAGTTTTATCAAAGCGATAAAATTTATCCCATTATTCAAACTCACAGTTATTGGATTTTTTAAATTCCAGTCATATAAGTCATACATGGGCTGAGACTTCAGAGGTTACAGTCAGCCAAATTAATCGGCAAAAGTAGGCCTCCTGGATGAGCCTAGAAGTTGTTGTTGTGACCTCTAAGTGTCATAAATTGTATTTTTTTTTCTGTCTAGCTACAATCCTTATGTGATAAATCTTACACTATAGCCTCTCAAAATGTCAGATGGTTCATCAGCAAGTGGAATAGCAAGCAGGTGCTACCGCCTTTTAATGGCAGAGGCATATGTTGACGTTTTATCAATAGATATTATTAAATCTTTCTTGGGTGAGTTAATCTCAAGATGATGGTGCAGAGAGGTTGAGAGAGACAGGCTTAACAGGCCTTCCTGAAAGGCAGATCATAAGCTGCTTATTAAATCGACTCTGTCTTACACACACACATAACTAAATGGAAATAAAAGCTAGCATTTTGATTTTCCCTCTCTATTATTATTATTGTTGTTGTTATTATTATTATTTTGCTTTTATTTTAGTTGATAATGATATTATGCATTATTAAGTTACGTAAAGTTAGGTAGCACTTGAACTCTGTTACTGTTATATTTTTCCCTTTTTGCAGTAATAATCTAAAAAAAATCTGTCATAATGACATTAATTTTCATCATTTTCCAGACGTGAATTCTTTCAGGACAATTTAAAGTCTCCTCTTTTTATCATTTTATCCTACATTCCCTACGTTTATGGGTAGGGGATACTGTTAAAATGTCAACCCTGTTACCTTTAACCTTGTGATAATTAAAAAGTGTATATTTGTGCGAATATTGATATTTAATTCTCCTAAGAAGTACCTTGTGTCATAATGCTGGGAATTAAAAGTTTACAGTCTTTTTGTAAGCATATTTAGATTGACATTAAAATATGTTAATTAAAGGTATAGATCACTAAAAATGAAACCTATAGAAACATGGAACATAGAAGATATTTTAATGCTGCAAATGGGTTTTTGTCCATACAATTGTATGTCAATGGTAAAAACATTCTTCCCAACGTTCTTCGAAATATTTTCTTTTGTGTTCCACAGAAGAAAATAAGTCTTACCTGTTTGGAATGACATGAGGGTGAGTAAGTGATGACATAGTTGTTATTTTTGGATGAACTATCCCTTTAAACTTGAGCCACAATTAAATTTTGAATATTTAAACACATTTTTTTGTCTGACAGAATGGTTAAAATGTTACAGAAATGTACACGCATTTCCCAGCACTCACACACCAAAAACACTGTTTTCTTTCTTCTTTCTTTTAAAACACTTCGCAAATTTATGCATGAAGATATGTTGCAAATGAAAGTAAAGTTACACACACAAATCCAAACACATAAGAGCTCCCATCAAAGGCAGACAGCTCAGGGGCCTAAGTTTATTGAAATGACTATTTTCCTTAGCTGTATGTGTGTATGTGTGTGTCTGAGAGACAATAGCAGCTTTATGGCTCTTGCTGGAGCTAGCAGAAGGAGCAGAGGCTGACAGTGGGTGATAAGACCACCAGCCTGCTTCTTGTGATAATCATTCGCTGGACCCCCACTCACTCTATGCACAGCTTACAAGCCTAAGTAGCCAGAATCTTTTGTGTGTGTGTTGGAAGTGAACTGTATCGAGCAGGGAGCGTTCTTCATGAACAGAGAGAAAGCGCCAGTGTAAAAGAGAGTGAGACACTGTCCTTATGTTGCATCATGTGAAGGCTACCAAGTAGGCTTGTAGCATCCTTGTGTGAGGTTATGGTATGTAATAAATTGAATGTTTCCTTGCAGTCTTTGATATATAATGTTCATCATAGTAACTTTCAGTTTTTTTATGATCTGGCCATCTATACTGAACATTAAAGTATCTCTCTCATCCATTATGCAAGGAAATGTGAGATAAAATGTGATGATTATACTATAGTAACTACATGACATGATTGACTAGATGAATGTTCACTAAAAAAATAAAAATAAAAAAATATTTTGTGTAGTAATTTTATATATATTTTTTATAGTTATGCATATACAATTATATTTCTTTTTAGTAAAACATTATTTATTAAATTAATTCACTAATTTAACAGTAAACAAATGTTAATCTGGTGAAAAAAACTAAATGCTGAATAAAACTAATAAAAAAAATGTAGTGGCAATTATGTATAGAGACAGAGAGAGATCAGAGAAATTAATACTTTTAATCAGCAAAAATGCATTGAAGGGATCAAAAGTAAAAGCATTTATAATATTACAAAATATTTATATTTTAAATAAATGCTGTTCTTTTGAATTTCCAGTTCATCAAAGAATCCTAAAAAAATTATCAGTTTATGTTTCTTGAGCAACAAATCAGCATATTACAATGATGAGAGATGATGAAGGTCATGATGAAGACTGCAGTGATTGCCATCAAAGGAATTAATTACATTTAAAAAATACATTAAAATTGAATAGAAATGGTTCATATTTCACAATATTACTGTTTTTACTGTATTTTTGATCACAAAAATTGAGCCTTTAAAAAAAATAGTTTAGAATTTTCGAATGGTAGTATATGTTCTCCTAACTATCACTTTTAATGCATTAATGCTTTTAATCTATTTCCTGCCCCTAAACATCACTGTAAATCATATGAGTTATGATTGGTGGTTTAAATATGTCAGTCAGACGGCCCTTTCATATCTGAATGGATGACTCATAGCCAGATTATGCTCTGATGTGCACTAAATTTAATGTGATCGTGAAAATTGTGTAGTAATGCCCGGTATTGTAAACAAACTTGGAGGTTTGGTGCACTAGTAAGTACCATCACACTTCATACACTCTATCTAACGGCTCTCTCTTTCTCTTTCAGGTGTCTGGCCTTCTGAAGAGGTGATGTCTCTCTCTCTCTCTCTCTCTCTCTCTCTCTCTCTCTCACTTTGCCCATATGACAGAGAAGCAAGGGGCACTTTTTGATTTGTACTCAAGGCGGTACACAAGCCTTTGATTTCCTGTTTTTACATTCAAGAGGCAGAAGAGGAAAGAGAGGCTTATCGATCACACAGCAGCAAGCTGAAGGTCAACTGGGCATATAGAGACAGAGCAGGGTTTTGCACCCTTGGGCCAATGCTTCTATAGGATTCTCTGTGTGTGTGTGTGTGTGTGTGTGTGTGTGTGTGTGCGAACGGAGGATGTTAAGACCTGTGATCTGTTGTGATTTGGTCTGGTGCATATTCAGACCTCTAAATTAAACACTGAAGTTAATTTGCATGTGTATGTGTGTGTAGTATGTTTGAGCATGTGTGTGTGTGTGTGTGTGTGTGTGGATGTGTGCTCTTGTTCCTGTATGTCATCAAGGACTGTCACCCTCTCGCTATCTTCCAGACCTGTTATCAGGCACTCACCAAAAAGAGAAAAAGAGGAGGATAAAGCAGAACAAAAAAAAAGTCAATTTACAGAGAGTGCCCATCTCTTCTCTTCATCCCTCTGGTTTTTTGCCTTTCTTTCCACTAGCCCAATGTACAGCCAAATAGCTACCTGTCACTGGGGCTTTGTCCCCGCCGCGGCTCATACTAGCAGTTTTGTGCGCATTAATTTTTAATTGCACTCCCTCATACAACAATCGCTCTCTCTTCATCCTCCACTCTGTCTCTCTATCAATGGAAGGTGTCGGATCATGGGCTGAGAGCAGACAAACACGTGGAGACTGTTGTCACGGAGCACAGAAATGACTGGCAAAATTATGAAGTCAAGCTGTCTGCGTGTGTGTGTGTGAGAAGACAGTTCTGGTGTGTGGTTCTGGGCTGCTTTTGATCTACAAGGACTCTCTACTGTATATTTTGTGTATGACAAACACAAATGAACTCTATGCAAATTATAGTCTTTGTGTAAATTCTCCATTCCTGTGAGAATTATATGAATTACCTTTCATGTGAATTATGTTCGGGTGCGTAGGTCTCTGGATATACAATAGGTATGTTTCTGAGTGTACTGTTGCGGTGTGACTCAAAAATGGCAGGTTTGTTCTGAGAAAAAAAAAAGCAAAAATGCTAAATGCTATTAATAAAATAAATTCCCAATTGGGCTTATTTACTTTTTTAAGGGTGGGGAAAATACTTTCAATATCTATCTATAGTTATTGACATATGGTTTAAAGGCTATTTGTCCAGTCAAACTCTTCTGCAGAAGCTAGGCTAATTAGCCAGATGCTAACATGTTTGCAAATCAATTAATCAGTGAATGATGTTTAATTTTTAACCCTTTTTAATTTACTTTTGCATATATTACTAATGTGTTGGTTTGTCACTTGATGTAAACAGAGCTCAGTGAATCAGAAATATAGCACTTAAAAGAAAAATAAATAAAACTTTACCATAGTAAAACCATGGTATTCTTACAAGTACTTTGGAGTACCATATAAATGTCAAATGTGTTTTTGAATTAATAAATATTCAGTATAGGGCTTTACACAATATCAGATTTTCCCTACAATTAAATTAATCACTCAAAATGCGAGTTTTGGGAGGCGGGGAGAGAATTTGTAACAATAACTGTACAAAATTGTACAAAAAGGTCAGAACTTCCTAAAGACTAGGGGTCTAAAATCCTGTCTTTTTTACGACATCCAAAAAACTCCCAACCTTGGAAGCTAACTTTTTTCGGGTGTTTCTGTTTTGTGACGGATTGCAACTAGCATTAGGTTCCAATACCGCCACTTACTATTTAGAATGTTAACCAGATAGTTATTGCCGCTGGATTATTTACATTTATTTCCAACAGTATTAACATGATATTATTTTTCACTTTTTACATATTAAGGTTATCATCAATACAAGTATATTTTTGTCTCGCCTCATTTAGAATGATGTATTTGACAATACTGCAGTATTGCCATCTGTAATGAATCAATGTACTGTACTTACAGTCCAGTACAGAATCAAAGCAGAACATTGATCCTGTATGTTTGATTAACTTCCCGTTCCTGTTGTAGCCCAAATCCACATTTCCAGCAGAAAAAAGGACAATTGCGCTTTCTTTTGTAAACACATATACACCCGCTCGCATGCAGAGAGAAGGAGAGAGAGGAAGGTTGAGATCAATGAGCCCAGTGGAATTGCATTCCAATCAATGGCACCCCTCTACACGGGCAAGTTAATTAGCGTTATTGTCAAGACACAACAGCATCTCGCTCTCTTTCTCTATCGCTCCCATTCTCCTATTTTCATCTCATTTGAGCTGAAAAACTTCACTCTCATACTCATGTACTTCAATGTTAACGCTAAACGGCGCATCAAACCCCTCCGTGTCTCTCTGTCTAACAGGGGCTCCACGGTGTGTGAGCTGGGTGGAGGGATGACGTGTCTGGCACTAGCCCCATGTACAGCCAAATAGCTACCTGTCACTGGGGCTTTGTCCCCGCCGCGGCTCATACTAGCAGTTTTGTGCGCATTAATTTTTAATTGCACTCCCTCATACAACAATCGCTCTCTCTTCATCCTCCACTCTGTCTCTCTATCAATGGAAGGTGTCGGATCATGGGCTGAGAGCAGACAAACACGTGGAGACTGTTGTCACGGAGCACAGAAATGACTGGCAAAATTATGAAGTCAAGCTGTCTGCGTGTGTGTGTGTGAGAAGACAGTTCTGGTGTGTGGTTCTGGGCTGCTTTTGATCTACAAGGACTCTCTACTGTATATTTTGTGTATGACAAACACAAATGAACTCTATGCAAATTATAGTCTTTGTGTAAATTCTCCATTCCTGTGAGAATTATATGAATTACCTTTCATGTGAATTATGTTCGGGTGCGTAGGTCTCTGGATATACAATAGGTATGTTTCTGAGTGTACTGTTGCGGTGTGACTCAAAAATGGCAGGTTTGTTCTGAGAAAAAAAAAAGCAAAAATGCTAAATGCTATTAATGCACCCCTCTACACGGGCAAGTTAATTAGCGTTATTGTCAAGACACAACAGCATCTCGCTCTCTTTCTCTATCGCTCCCATTCTCCTATTTTCATCTCATTTGAGCTGAAAAACTTCACTCTCATACTCATGTACTTCAATGTTAACGCTAAACGGCGCATCAAACCCCTCCGTGTCTCTCTGTCTAACAGGGGCTCCACGGTGTGTGAGCTGGGTGGAGGGATGACGTGTCTGGCCGGTCTCATGGTAAGTCAAAAATTGCATACAGTGCTCACACAGACAGACAGTCACAGGCAAATGGGCAATTTGCATCAGCATGGGTAATCTAACATGGGCATATTGTAAGCAACATGAAATCAGCCAGCGCACATTGACATTTCTACCTCAGTGACTATAAACACACGTGGCCCAATGGGCTAACTTCATCAAAAGCATTCAAACACATGGGCTTGCAAGTGCAAACACATTCTGTCTTGGTCACAGACACACATACACACACATCAGTGGCTTAGACTCTGGCTGTGTGTAGTGTATAGTAGTTTGTAGTAGCCTCTCCAGATGGACAGGCTTAACATGTTATCGATTTCGCCTTCACAAGACCAGCCTTCCCATATCTCTCCACTCAATACCCCCGTGTTGTGACATTATGGACCGCCAGTGGATCGCCCTCCTCATCCCCCCACTCGACCTTTTTTTTTAAAACTCACATTCCTCCTTTTCTCAGGTCTGACTTAGTGCTTCTTGATGCTTGTGTTTATTTAAGTCCTTTGCAAGGACAAATAGCTTCTCTCTTCTATCCTGTGCCCTGGAGTGCTGTGGTTTTGGCAGTGTCATCCATGTTTTTCTTGGGTGACTGGTTGGTTTCCTGCAGGTCTTGATGCCCATATGGCTAGCTGGTGGTGTGGGGCCCCGTGACCTGACTCTTGCCCACAGGGCAAAAAACACTACATCACTCTGTAGAGATGATTCTGCTGTATTGTCTCATTTTGTCAGTGCATGTAACCTTTTTGTTTGACTTGAGCGTTTCAAATTATAGACATTAAAAATGTCTGCTAAAAAGAACTACTTAAGAAATCCTGTTGCAATTTGTGTGTCTTTGAAAGGACTTTTACCTGGGAAAATGTAAGATGCTGGTTTTCTTTGTGTGATGGCGTGGAATATTCACTGCATTATACCATCAAAACAAATTTATTGGGAACTTTTTTTTATGCTCACCGAGGTTAAATTTATTGAATAGAAAACAATTCAGCAGTAATATTGTGAAATATTTTCACAATTTAAAATAACAAATTTGTATTTAAATTTATTTTAAGGCATAATTTATTCCTGTAATACAAAGCTGAATTTTCAGCAGCCATTATTCCAGTCTTCAGTGTCACATGATCCTACAGAAATCATTCTAATATGCTGATTTGATGCTTAAGAAACTTTAATAATTAGAAAATTCAAAAGAACATTTATTTGAAGTATACATCTTTTGTAACATTACAAATGTCTTTACTGTGACTTTTAATTTAATGCATCCTTGCTGAATAAAAGTATTAATATCTTTAAATAATAAAATCTTACTGACCCCAAACTTTTGAACAGTACTATAGCACATGCTAATATTCCTTAAGAATTAACCCATCACTAAACTGCAAAATATTCCCATTATCGTAAGGACAATAATATTATTAAAAAAAAACATACAGTTTCATGTCTGCTAAGAAATAACTACATAAGATTAATAAATACATAAATTCACTCTGCATTGGCAGGTGTGTCAAAAAGTTATTTTTGCTTCCCGTGTTTGAGAACTGTCAGAAATTTTAAATCGCATTATTCAAAAGCACAAATATAAAACCTTGCAAGCACTTTTACAAACGCACACATTCCCTGCTTCTGCCCACTGTGCCTCTCCAAACTACTGTTACACAGTGCCTCTGATAAAGACGACTACTTGAATGAAAAGACTGTATAGAAAGAGCTGACAATGGAGCAGCACAAAGGCAGAAGCTTCGCAGTACAAAGTTATATGAAGGGCATCAGGCAGGCCTCGCGAGCCGAGTAAGGAGTGACAGCAGAGCGCGATGGCCCCGTCTGATAAATGCCACACTGCAAATGAAAGGCTCGGCACTCACCATCATCCCCTGTCACAATGCAATTACCCAACAGAGTGATAGCAAGATAGAGGGCTCCCAGCCACCAGGAATGATAAAAGTATTGACTGATTTGATTGAATGATTAAAATAATGCAGACGTAAAATGAAAAAAACGGATGAGACAGACAGCGATGGATGAGAGGGAGCAGGGGAGAAAGAGAGAGGGGTGGTCGTTTTGGAGTAGGGCTTTAAAAATCAGCGCTCTTCAGATATGACTGCTTGCAAACAGTGTGCTGAGGATGTCTTGCTTTTGTTTTATTTATTTATTTGTTTGTTTATTTTTCATCTTTTTTTCTCTTTTTCTGCAGATTGCGGTTTGTGCTGATGTGAAGGAAGTGCTGCTATCTGATGGCAACGAGAAGGCAATTCAAAGTATCCTTGCATTACGGACTGGTGTGTAGCTCTGTTCCAAAACCTAGTAAGCTGCCCACTCCCTACATAGGCAGCTGCCTTCTAAGGCAGCGTCTGAACTGAAATGGAACCCCATAAATGACTGATCTGGAACTTACATAGGCAGGATCTGTAAATGAAGTGCACAGGAGACTCCATAATTGCAAGCGACACAAGAGGAAAGTGATATTTGATTAAAATATAATTTGAATTTTTTCCTCTTTCTGAAAGTCATGAAAACACTATTGTGGAGTTTTTTTTTTTTTGCTATTTGAGCAAATGGGAACGCAAAAAATACATTTGATGTAGTCTTCCATTCACTGTTGTAGAATTTTACCCAACTTTTGAGAAACCTAGAAATGTGAAAAGGGTCCATCTACATTTCTCTTGTTTGTCCACAGTCTTCATTTATTTTATCATTGAGCTTGTCGCAGTGCATTCTGGGGTTGCCTTTTCCACAGAGGATGCCTATAATTTGCTCAAAATGAGGTAACTTAGAAGGCAGCATAATTACATTCCCTATACCTTCTGGAACAGCCTTCACGTGTTAAATTGACACCTAAACAAAACTCTCCCTACAGAGGCAGCTCACTTGGTTTTGGAACAGAACTTGTGTGTGTTTCCGAACCATTCCAAACATCACTTTGTTCAGTTGGAGTGCTGACAGCGATGTGTTGTGTGTGTATGTTCTCAGTGTAGACTGTCTTCGAGAGCGTAGCACAGAAAAGAAAACCTTGCTGTCTATTTAACCCCTATTTACCTCAGATATTCCTCTCACTCTCACCTCTCTCACACACACACACACACACACACACATTCAGTCAGCCATTCTTAATGTGCACTCTGTCAAAGAATACACACACGCACACACACACACACACACACACACACCCCTCGACATATCTGAATGTGAGGCAAATCATCCAGCTGACACCCGAAACCTGCATTTAGCATGTTTAATACATATTCATTTCATTGAAGGCTACCGCTGTGTGTGTTGACTCACCTGCTCCTTGTCTCTCACCCTCTCCCCCCTCTTCCATTCCCCTGTTGACTTTCTCTTTTGCCAGGAGCACAGATGAAGCTTAAACAGGTGACAGGGCACAGCTCAAACCTTCTTTCTTCATTCCCTTTCTTCTCTTTTTCTTATTCCCGCTCTCCATCTCTCGTCTTCCCACTGCAATCACTCAGATTAGCCTCGTCGTTTGGCTCACAAAGGCAGGAAAAACAGAGACGACAGACGTGACAGCAAAACGCCGCAAAATTACTGTGCCCACATTCGTTAGTAGAACAGCCAGCGCTGCCACTACAATGAGCTTTTATTGAATATCAATACTCAAAGAACAATGGCTGTGGCATGAATCAACACAACTCCTCATTGAGAAGAGATTTGTTTAAAAGAAAATGGAGGGAAAGGGAGCAGAGCAAGACATACTCAAAACATTCATAGTCTGTCTCTAAACTGCTTCCTGTAATAGAGTGTGAAAAGACTGGCAGAAGGCTGATAGAGCATTAATTGGCAGTGCTTTGTTTCAGAGATGTTTCTGCCATAATAGAACGCCAAGAGATGATCTGATGATCGGACGAGGCTTTCTTTGGAGAACCCTATACGATATGGTGTTTTCTTTCTTCGTTTTAGAAGAAAGAAAATGAAGGGATCAACAGAGTTGAAACATTAATATTTGCATGCTAGTCATAGGATTACTCCAAACTTTCAATGTAAACATATCTATGGTTATATATATACACTATTTTTTTTAATTTTTTTATTCTGTGTTCCTTTCTTTTACTGTGTTTAAAGGGTTAAAACAATTCTGGATAGCTCTATACAACTCTAAATTTTTAAATCTGGTGTGTAAAGCAATTTCTGATTTCAGCATTTAGGTTTGACCTTTGTTTAAAAACTAAACTATATAGATTTATATGTATTGTGTACAGGGTTTGAACAACATAATGTGAATATTAAGGTGTTTTACCACCAATGCCTTTAATATAGCTTGCAGCTTTCTTAGAATAGATTAACACAATGTTTGAACAGTCTCCAGTTGAACGTTGTCTATCAGAATATCGGTCAATTGCTTTAGAGATGTTGGAGGAGGGAATCTGCTTCTTACACTTCTCTCCAAAAATTGCCCACAGTGGTTTGACCATGTTTAAGTGAGATGATTGAGATCACCAGGGCAGATATTGAAGTGAATCTCCAGCTGTCCAGGTTTCATGATCTTAACACCATGTTTTTCGTATTTTAGCATTGGTGTCTGTAATTAAATTTATCATTTGCAGTTCTTTCATGGATGTTGGCTTTGTGAAGTTCTCTGTGGTCTGTTTTTGTGGAAACAGGATCTTCAAGGTGAATATTGAGGTTTACTGTCACTTTTGCTGCAGTAGTTCTGTGCTGTTTGGACACAATCCTTCTTAGTGTTGATGGTCCCTATCATTCACTTCCGGTTTCGGCCGCTGTTCTTTTTCGCTGATGAAGTCTTGCCATGCTTTGTGTAAGCAGTCATAATGATAGACAGTTGTTCTTAAAACACCAAACAATTGGACTCTTAATGTTACAGAAGCTCCTGCTATAACGGGCCATGATTTGTCATTTTTGGAATTTTTGGAATATTTAAATTTGTGTACATTTCAATTACTTTTGACTTCTACATCAAAGCCAGATTGGCTCTTCAACCTGCCTAATCAGCAAGATGTAAACTGCAGTAACTGCATAATTAGTATAGTACAAAGTTCATATTGTGGTTGGTTTGTTGGCATAGTTGGCCCCCACTGGAGAACACAACCTCGCTAGTGTTGTTTGAGACCCCTGTTGTATATGTCTACATACAGTACTCAGATTGATGGCATTGTGTGTGAGTACTTGTGTTATTGCTGGACAATTAGATGTTACTCCAAATATGATATGCAAATGTAGTATTCTTACTATCTAAACCGAATATGACTGAATTAGACATGTTACTACATGAACACACACACACACACACTCTCTGAATACTTCATCAAAAAAAAAAAAAAAAAAGGCCATTGAGCCCAACTGGGAATGAATAGTGTATCAGAAAGTGCTGAGTGGTTTCATGACTCAGTTCTGATCTTGTCTAGTCTGCACTCGTATTAAAGCCGTGCATGTGTAATCAAGAGACCCATACTGTTAAATTTTACTTTTCACACTGATTATGTTCTTTAATAGCTGCTGCTCTCTGGAGCTTTATTAATCAAAAGTCCTGAAACTTGGAGGCAATATGAATGAATGAATGAATGAATGAATGAATGACACAGGTGTTACACAGGAAGTCTATTTTTGATCAAAATTGTGTCTCGGGGCACTGTTAAAAGAGAATGAGAGAGACGCCAGTGCTAACCTCTCCACCAGTGGTCTTTTCCTGATGGGATTACACTGTAAGCCTTCCACTCTCTCGCCTTAGCTGTGGATCTCACCAGTGTAACGTGCGCACCCAGCCCCCTCCCCTCTTTCATTGAGGGATTTGCCCTCCATCCCTGTGCTATAGATTGGATTTGCTACAGTTGTTTTCCATGGAGCGAGAGAGAAAGCAGGCCAGAAAAAGCGAGAAATGGTAATTGAATTAGTTTAAAACTGTTGAAGGGTCTATTCATAGATGCGTTGACATCAATCCCGCAGTATAACCACAATGGGTGGAGGCCCATCTGAGGAGATGGATGCAGGTTAAAAGCCTCCCTATTGATTACCTATGGTAATGCTTTGCATGAGTTGGTTTTGAGCTCAGTGGTAATCTGAGGATGAGCTGTGGAGAGAGACGGCTGTTACAGAAGCGAACGGACTCTGTGGGTTGACGTCATATGAAAGGGCCTGACATGATTAAACAAGAAATCAGCTAAGTGTAATAGGCTCTTGATCAGAGGGATAAAGAAAAGGAACTTGCTGTTGTTCAACAGTGTCTCACCTACAACTTTCATACTTTTGTGTACTTTTCTGTATTCTGCAGCTTGATCACTTTGTTGTAGTATTCCATATTAAAGTTCACAAAAGAATATAAACACAATACCAGACAAACTTTTAAATAAATTTATGAATGTAATTTCTCATGTTGTGAAAGTATACTAAATTTACTAAATATTAAAATAACATTTATGTGTGTGTGTGTGTGTGTGTGTGTGTCTGTCTGCCTATGTCTATGTCTATATGTCTATATGTTTATTTATTTTGATAACCATTGACAAATTATTATTATTATTATTAAAGATTCTCACAGGGGATGCCATTTTTTCCCCCCAAAATTTTAAATTATTTGTTTTTTAGTTTATTTAAGCTGTTTTTCTTCACTTGAAAATAATAATATAAAATATTAATTATTTATTTATTTTTGATTAGTTAGATCAAATAGTGAAGGAAAAGCAGCTGCCAAGTGTCTGTTTATAAACCATCCCAGGATGCACCTCAAGTTGTTTGAGATGCTGTCCAGAGTGCATAGCAGTGTTGACCAGTCAGCATTTAGGACCAGAAATATCCTGTTTATAATTTGCGTTGTTTCATAGTTTTGATGCCTTCTCGATTATAACAAAATATGGAAAAAGAGTAGGTGTATTCAAACTTTTGACATGAAGGTGGATATATCTGTATGTTTAATTGTCATGTTTTTATTAATTATGAAACAGTGTTGCATTTCTTGACAAAGAGCATCAGATGTGCGCAGTGTTATCGAGAGGAACAGGCGAGAGGGGGTCTTCCTGTCTACCGATGTGTCCAGCAGGTAATCACTCATACACCTCCCAAACATCTCCGTTAATAAAAGACAGAGCACTAATATTGCTTTTACATTACAGCCATAAGAAGTCCATCTCTTATGTCAATACAAATTCAAGTGTTAGAATTCACTGAAGCTTTGCATAGTCAAGCATGCCATGAAGTATAGAAAAGTGTGTTTGGGTAAAGTGGCATTTACAGCACTTGTGTTCAGGACATAATAGTGTCAATAAGTAGGCAAAAATGAGGTTGCAAGGCTCCGTGTCACTCCCTGAACCCAGTTGGCCCGGTAACGAGGTATCCGCAGCCAGTAGGGCGAGCGCTACGCTCTCTAACGCGCCGAGATGTATCCAGGCAGAGTGATGATGAGCCACTCTCTGTGATTGAATGCCCTCATCTAGAAAACTCAAACACACACACTCTCTATAACACCCCTCTCTCACATTTGCCAAAACACAGCTCATCCACTGTGCACACCATCACGCAAATGCATTATCACCTAAAAAGTAATTTTGGCACTCAGTGATCTAACCACTCTCTCCCCCTCTCGTCTCCTCTCCTCTCTCTTGCTCTGCACACTCCCCCCTCCCTGTGTATTTACACTGGGCTGATGAAGTGAAAGAGTAAACGTATAATTAGCCTGCATTACTTTGATTGTTTTCTTTAGAGATTAGGCTTCCTGTCAGAGCGCGTGGTTTGAGTGGGGTGAAGGTCGCGTGTGATTGGTTGAGGGAGGGGGGGTGGATTCGCTTTCTCAAGTCAGTGAATAGGCAGCGCAGACCCCCACTGAGAGAGGAGATTGTATTTCCACAAGACATAATTTTTGTTTACTGACTGTTAATAATGGCTAATTAATAATCAGATTTGCTTGCCTGGAAACTGGCCCTAGCACTTAAAGAAAAGAGAGAAGACGATCACCGCCAGACAACGGCGCAAATAAAAAGCAAGTGTCAGGTGTGTGAAATATCTCTGGATGCAGCATTGTGAGGGATTATGGGGGTGAATGATAAATTGTGCAACATGGTTGATGACGCAGCTATCATCCTGTCCTCTTTCAGGGTGGTGAGATGGGACAATGAGGCCGATATGTCCACTCTGGAGGGTCGCTTTGACGTGGTGATGTGCGCTGACTGGTAGGTTGATCCTTTTGTTGAACTGTCAATTCTTCAGAGATCCACCGTCACCCAAAACATGACACTCGTACAATCCTAACACAATTGTTGCACGACACCTCCAAAACAGATCTTTCAGGCCAAACCGCTTGTTCTTTCTAACATTATACGATTCGGAGCAGGCGAAGAGATTCTGTACATCTGTCCAAAGCAGCCGTTCTTACAGCTATTACAAAATAAATATCATATCTCACACTTTACTAGACCCTCAATAAAAGTGTGCACCTTGTGTCCTGGTGATGTGGCATTAATATTCCTGCGCCACTAACGCTTATCAGATGGCAGCCATCAGCTCGCGGATGGCACTGCATTATTTCCCCTCCGCTAGCTCCGCCAGGCATTTCCATTTTTCAGAAATTGCCTCTTTTTCATGCTTGGCGTCCCAGCAAATGGATGTCTTAGGCAAATTGCAAATAATTATGCCTGTGCAAGGAGAGAAAGAGAGTGAGAGAGAGATTATAGAGCAATACAAACATTTCAATTAGCCAGGTCCTGAACATGTGGAACATGTTGTTTTTTTTCTCTCTTTTGTATGTCTGTGTAAATGCGTTGTTGCATGTGCATCATACTAGTCTTTTACAATCATTCGGATGTAAATTTTACTACTGGTCCATTCAGACTTCATTATGTAATGCAAGAAAATTTTATTTTTCTAGAATGCTATGTTGGATAGTTTGGGAAATCCAGCTTAGGGAGGCATCATGTGATCAAAGATGAACCGTTCTTTTTATTTATATGGTCATTTAGTTGTTAAAGGTATAGTTCACACAAAATAAAAAATTCTGTCATCATTTACTCATTCAAGTCGCTCCAAACCTGTATGATTTAATTTCTTCTGTATAATATATCTGTTTGTCCATACAAAATCAGTGTGGTCCGATTTTGTTTGTGAGCACACTGACTTTCATTATACAGTTAAAAAAAGCTGAAACAATCTTCAAAATATGTTATTTCTTTTATTCAGAAGAAAAAGTCATACAGGTTGTTTGGAATTACATGAGGGACAGTAAATTCATTTTGGGATGAACTGCCCCTTTAATATATTTTACATGTTAACCTTTGTACCAGTAATGTAATGTTTGCCAATATTTTATGAATTTATGTTAAATCTACACATTAAATACACCGAAAATGGCCAATGAATACAGGAGATTGTTAGTGAGACTTATTCATGTCTGATTCTTTTGTAATGGTCCCTGCTCTCATTACATGCATTATAATGACCCTAATTAGTACTTTAATTATATACATTTCCAAATCATACACATTTTTCCTCATCAACATTTTTCTTAACACTATTATAGTTTATTACATTGTTATTACATTATTACATTGTTATAAGCCCAGCTTTAAACCGGATGTTCTTTGGCATTGTCTCTATCTAGCACAAAGTAGTGAGGCTGATGGAGGCGGGCTATAATGATACCTGTGTGTTCTCTGGCGATGATCACTAAAGCCTGGTACAGCCTACTATTATTCTAATGTCAGACAAATGGCAGCTAATACGCAGGTAAAATGTGCAGCAGAGGGCCAGCATGAGATTGATTTGTGTGTAGTAAGGAGATACTACGTGTCTGTGTGTGTGAGAGAGAGAGTGGAAGAAGGTATGTGAGGATGAATCATGCCGCGTTGGCTGTCCCCCCGTTGCTTGCACTGGCATCTCATCTGTAATTGTCTTCAGGAGAGTGATCGCTTGGCGATTAACGAACATAGCCATGCTGACGATCACCTGCGAAAAGGTCAACAGCCACACTTCTGCTCCAATTAATTATAGTCTTTCAGACAATCGCCAAGAAAGGCAGGACATAATGTGGCGGCGCTCACGCTAGGAGAAGAGAGAGAGATAAAGACGTAGTCTCAGCTATGATAGCAAAAGGTTCTTCCAAAAGACAGCCCTCTGTTTCACCTTGTCTTTGTCTTCACGAGACAATGCTATTCTTGTCTGAAAACGATGTTTTGTAGCTACGCTAAGAGTAGACAAAAGCATGAAATTAGCACTCAAGGCCCACAGCTCTTTACTTGACTTGTGCAGTTTTGTTTAAAGTGATATTTCCTCACCGCTGAGAAGGTGAAAGACTGATATGCTGTTTTAATCAGAAGTTTTCAGAAGTGTCTCTTTCTAGTCTTTTAGTTTATAGTTCTGTCTTGTTCCTGTTTGCTGTTCGTCCCTTTATTATTCCCTGATTGTCTGCATCTGTGTCCTTGGCTGTGTGCGAAAATCGCATACTGTCTGAGTAGGTGCTTCATTTATTGAGGAACTTAGCAACTGTTAAAATCACATTATGTATAGTAGGTGTCTAGTATGAATGAAAACCTAAACACTATTCACCATGTTGTCATTGTCATGTGACCTTTACTGCCATTGATTGATTTAATGGGATAGTCACATGTCTATCAGGTGTGCACTTTAGAACCCCACGTGAAGCAGTAGGTCACCTTTTCACCTACTGTTTCATAAATACTATGAATTCAGCCATACTACCCATTTCACATACTGTTTTCTGCCTTCTGTATAGTAGAGACGTGTGCATATTCGGACACAGTGTTCATTTTCAAGTCTTATCCCTCTATGGTGATAATCTAAGGTGAGCTCTGTTGTGTTTTCTTGTTTCCCTGTTTCAGAGTTTCTTGTACTTTTGTTATTATTTTGCATTTGGATCCTGCTTGCCCTCGTTTCTGAGTTCTCAGCATGACAGCACAAGAAATGTGTAAATGAAACCTCAGCGTAACTGCAACAGCAGAGTTCAAAGAAAAGTAAAGTGTTTTCTTGTTTACTACATTGTGTATTTCTTTTAAAAATGGCTGTAAATTAAAAAATGGGTGTCAAGAGTGTGCCATTGAGGGTTACAGTAATGCCTGTAGAATAATCATGCACTGAAATAATATTGCCTGTCTAGAAAGAAATGCAGTTGCTTTTTTACGCTATGCTGTAAGCAAATGCAGGAAGATGAAGATGAAGGTTTAGAAAGTCTTTAATCCAACACACAGGGTAACATTGATGAGACCGGACAAAGGAAACTCAAACAGAACTGAACTAATATACACGTGATAGCCAGACACACCTGAACATAATCAAATGAATAACCATGAAAACCAATTAACTATGGCAGGAATTATGAAAACACAGAGTCCAAACTAACAGAAACCGTGACACTTAGGTAGTGCTGCACAGTTTGGGGAAAAAATGTAAATGCCTTTTTTCTTTTGATAATAATTACGATTAGTATTATTTTTTTCCCCCCAAGGAAAAAATATGGCTATAAAATACTACTACTACTACTACTAATAATAGCTATTATTAAATAAGAAATTACTATTTTGTAATTTATGCATTCTTAAATGTGAGACCATCCAGCTTTTTTGTCATAAAACCGCAGAGAGATTTTAAAGCATCTCCTTTTGTCAGCAGCTGGTTTATAAGCGCTTCTCATTACAAGTTTGCGAAGATGGTTAGTGTATCTTGCTTTCCAAAATTCAACTTATAAGCAACCCAAAACCACAGCATATCCAGAAATGAGTTTAATGCTGCTCTGATATACTGAAAACTCTGGATCGTGAGCTGCTCACGTGTAAAAATTGCGAAACCCTATACTCTGAGATTGGCCTGACAACCAGTTTCACTTTTCAAATGAATGCTAATGTATGTCCAAATAGATATATCTTGAGACTTTTATTCAGTGTTTTCATTTGCATTCATATTGAATGTACATGAACTACTGACATTTTAAGTTTCATATACATTATATAATGTGTGTTAATAACTTTATAATGGAGGTTTAAAGTGTAAGCCATTTCTGTTCAGCTTAATTTCTATAGTGACTACATGTAAACATGCTTGCAGGGATTCTATTTTAAAGGGCTATGGAATGGCACTCTGGAAAAACACGGTGTATCCCATCACTTAGATCTTTAGCTGGAATCGCAGTAACACCAGGCTAGGGTCAAGCATGTGAAGAAGCAGTCAGCCGTGATCCATGATAAGTGAATCAGTCACCAGTATCCTCCACTTGATCCCTCAATACAATATGTGTGTGAGATTCCCTTAGGTAAAAACAATTCTTGTGTAATCATGTCTGTTGAATTTACTAGACAACCCTTAAATTGTCATGAGGGGAAACATCCTTTATTGAAACATTGCTGTCTTTGAAACAGCAATGTTTTGTGACCCCTCACAGCAACTGAACCAAAAGTGAGAGTGCATGTCTCTTAGTGATCCCTGGTTTATGCTACTTCTTTGCATAAACACACACACACACACACACACACACACACACACACACAGAACGTTGAAGCACTTCGCTACACAAACACACAGTGTAATGTACAGTCATGGCCAAAAGTTCTGGCTGTGACATAAATTTTGTGTTTTGCAAAGTTTGCTGCTTCAGTATTTGTAGATATTTTTCCACATGTTTCTATGGTATACTGAAAAACAATGATAAACATATCATAAGTTTTAAAAGCTTTTATTGGCAAAAAAATATAATGAGTCAATATTTACAGCGTTGACCCTTGTTCTTCATAACCTCTGCAATTCGCTCTGACATGCTGGATATTAGCTTCTGGGCTAAATCCTGACTGATGGCGATCCATTCTTGCCTTATTAGTTCTCGGAGTTGATCCCATTCCTGAGAAAGCTCTGCACTGCTGGTGACACGATTCTGTAGCTGACTCCTCAGGAGGAGATGGTCCTGGCACTTACTGGACACTCTGGGACGTCCTGAAGACTTCTTCACTGCAGTCGAACCTCTCTCCTTGAAGTTCTTGATTCGGTAAATGGTTCTTTCAGGTGCAATATTCTTTGTAGCAATTTCCTTGCATGTGAGGCCATTTTGATGCAAAGCGATGATGGCTGCACATCTTTCTTTGGAGGTAACCATTGCTAACAAGAACACAATGATTGGATGCACTTCTTCCCTCCTTTTATAGCAATCAGTCTGCTCGTACAATCTAATTAGTATGATAGTGATTTTAGCTGATAGTACTCATTCATACTTTCACATGTTTTTTTTTTTTTTGGTGAAAAGTTCAGTTTTTGGCCAATGAAGCTTTTAGCAATGATTTAAAATGCATCTGATCACTCTACACAATAATCTAGAAACAATGTGAATGAACACCACAACAGCTTAAGCTGCAAACTTTGCAAAAAACAAAATTTATGTCACTTCCAAAACTTTTGGCCATGACTGCAGGCTCCTGGTGTGAATTCTTGCAGTGGTCTCGTTGTAATCACTGCTGCAGTGATTGACTGACTGAGAGAGCTTGGCATCTCGGCTTCCTCTAAGCTTCCTGTGTCTGTGGACTCAAGATGAAAGCTTTTGTGCATGTTTATTTTCATTTGTTTATTTTAGGTTTTAAAAGTTACTATGTTATTTAGCTGATTTCTTTCTATCACCTTTTCTTGTTTACTTTGCCCCTTTGTTGACCTTGCTACTGCTAGTTCCGGCTCATTTTGTGCAGTATATTTTCTAAGACATAGAGTTAGTGAAAGAAGGATCTATTTACATCTGTGTATTTTCAGAGCACCTCACCTTAACCACCTAAGTATGATATTCTTGTCACCTGCATAGATGAAAAAGCATACACAATAAAGCATCACATAAAAAAAAATGTAAACAACATATAAAAGTGCTTTAAAGATACCACAAAAATGGGACTGGCCAATAATTTTTCCAATAGCTCTGAAAAATGGTGTAATTTACCAGTTAGATGTTGTTTAGATAAATTGGCCACATCATTCACAGCATTTCAGTGTTGATTTCTGTACAGTTGTTTGTGATTTCAAGGTTTGAAGCTTTGTAAGATTTTAGTCAGCTGAACTAGTGAAATGATAATAATAAACAAACAAACAAATGGCTGTGAGAATACAATATGTGTGATAGATAGATAGATAGATAGATAGATAAAATAAAAATCCTAGAATAAAGATAATTAAATGACAACAATACAATGTAATAAAAAAAAAGAATGATTAAAAAAATATATATCCATCAAGTGTCCAGGAAACATGAAGGAAATTTAATATGTATCTGTAAAAACATCTCCACATAAGAAGGGTTTTCACTCTAATCATCAATAATGTCAGTCATCTTAGCATAAGCTCCTATTTCCTACTGATGGTATGATTTTTATGAGTCGTTTGTCTGCCTTCACTATAGGTTTCATTGAGGGGATGAAGTTAATGCAGTCTGGATTAGGTCAGATCAAGTATTAAAACCCACCCATATTTTAATCTTACTTCCATAACCTTCAGATTACCACAGCCAAAAATATGTTAAGACAAGCCCCATTTGCAGTGAGTTTGTCATCATGGCGAGCTGTATAAAGTTTCGCTTAGAGTTATGTACTTCTGTAATATGCTACCACACTTCTATTTATAGCATTGTAAATGCACTGTTCGCACTGGTCAGGCAAGAGAGGGATTTAAATGTCAGTTAACTGCTGGTGAGGATGACGACAACAATACCAACAAGCAAATCTTGCGGCCCAAGGCTTTGACATACTGCTGGTGCTGTTGCGGGTGGTCATTAGCTTTTTAATAAACAGAAAATACATTTAATGAAAGGAGAAAGAATGAAGGGCAAATATTACATCACTGACAGGTCAATATATGGAAGTAAAGGAGGAAGTACCATTGGTAAATTGGGAAGGGTTTTGTTTGACGTACCCTGTCAAGGCCAATGTGGCCAGTCGAACATTCCTGCACTCTCACCTCTAAACTCACCCTCTATTGTCCAGACTGACCTACTCCACCCAAAACACAGGGTCAGAAGTTCAACTGCTAATGAAACGCTTCTATCCATCAGACTCGTGACCACTAGACGTGGCCAGTGAGATCACAAAAATAAGGATTAATCAACATAACTCTGACCTTTGTCCCTTAGCAAACGAGAGCAGTGTTTTAAGCAGGGTCAGAGGTGATTGGACTATTTTGCTCGTAAAAAAAGTTCACAAGTAAATTCTGACTGGAACATGGTTTGCTCTTGTAAAAATAGCTGTAGTAATATGAATAGGAAAAAAAGCACACAATATGTACAGCAAATGCATTAAATTGATCAAAAGATACAGTCAAGACAATTGTTTACAAAATAATTGTTTTAAAAATGCTGTTTAATTATAATATATATATATATATATATATATAAATGTGCAGGCCAAAGGTTTGTTTTTTTTAATGTTTTTGAAAGAAGTGTCTTACTCTCACTAAAAATACAGTATATATTACAATTTAAAATAACTGTATTCTATTTGAATATATTTTAAAATGTAAGTTATTTCTGTAATGGTATTTATATGTATGTATTTATATATGTAATTTGTATATACTGTATGTAATTGTGTGTGTCACTGAAGGGTTTTTCTTTTTCTGTTGCTTAGTATTAGTTTGTATCATGTTAACGCCACCTGATACTTCCTTGATCGTTCATCTCTGCTAGTGTGTGTGTTTTACCTTTTGATTTGAATGCTGTCACACCACTGAAACTACATCTGCAAGCCGTGCTTGAGATGTGTATGTGTGTGCTTTCGGATTTATTCACAAACAGTGAAAATAAATAGCCTGCTGCTTTATCTGGAACCATTATCGTTGCAATGCATTCTAATCTTTCTAGTTGTTCTGTCTTTCTCTTTTTCTCTTAGTCTGTTTCTTGACCAGTACAGAGGGAGTCTGGTTGATGCACTAAGAAGATTACTGCGACCTGATGTAAGTGACTGTGTGTGTGTGTGTGTGTGTGTGTGTGTGTGTGTGTGTGTGTGTGTGTGT